TAGAGTAGGATTTTAATGCTTAAGTACGAGACTACGACCGGTTAGAAAAGTGTGTTTGCGGCACCTATGGAGTCCTTTGCAGACAAATGGACAATGGTAATCAATTTATATATGTCCAAACCAAGTTCACTTTTAACAGTTTGAAAAAATTTGGGCATTAGGTATATGATATTCATTATAATAAAGGTTTTTGTATTTCCCAATGAATGAAAAACAAAACGATATTGTTTTTACTGACGTTTCGCTATTTAATGCTAATAGATTTATCAAAGTATTATTAAACCGGAATTTACAAAATCTCAGCATATATATAACAGAGTTAAGAGGTGAGAAAATAAACTTAGGTCAAGTTAAAAGGACATATTGAAAGTTAAAATACCAATGAAGATCATTAAATCAAACAACATAGGTAATAGTACGTCTGTTATGATATCAAAACAAAGTTTACTAACTTGATCATCGTTCGTTAGTCTGGGGGCATTTTTCGTTGTCAAGTTGGTCATTTGGTAAAGGTAACAAAACCAAGTGTAGATTGTTGGATTTGATCAGTGTGTAAAATTATAAAGGCAGTGTGTGTTTACATAGTGAAATTGCATATCACATTCGTGTTGATTTTGTCACTTCATGGGGGTCTGCATGCTTTAGAATCAGGTCACAAAATTGATTTTGACAATATTGAAATAATCCAGAAAAACTTCAGAAATCATAAAGAACGTCTAATATCAGAAGCACTTCATATCAAGTGGAATCCAAATTGCCTGAATAGGAATGATGGACTAAAACAGAATCTGACCTGGTTACAACACCTCCCTCCCCCATTTCAATTATTCCTTCTTATACGTCTTCGTTCATAGTAGTTTCACTACATCTTTTTTTACTCTCCTTTTATATATGCTTTTCAGAAGTGTAGTAACCTGACCTGATGGTACCATTTTCTACGTCGACTCTTTATTCATCCAGTCAGTCACCTGATACATCTGTTGGTTATTTCTCAAAGGAAATGGTTCTTTACTATTATCATGATTAAGTATAAAATATCGGATAGCACAATGCAGGCGATAGCAAAGATTGGTGCAGGGGAAAGTAAAACTATTGTAGTCCCCTCAACTACTAATGCATGAGGTGGAGTTTGAACATGTTACTTGGTGACACAGTGTTAAGTGCTTGAACCACTAACCTCTAATTTAGTTGTTTTGACTTTAAGCTTACATACACAAGCAGAGATTAGTTCTTGCTAGATATGTGGAGTAAGGTAATCCTACAAGAAGTGTACTTTTACCGACTGATTCAACAGTGTATAGCTGCAGCATGTTTCACCCTGTTAAAGGTCAATTCTAATAGACTGTGTACAAATCTCAAAATTAAAATTAGATATGTAAGTAAAGTGAAAGTACAACAATCAGAATGTTTCGTTAGTATTTATTGTGGATAAGATTCCAAATCCACCTGTTACCAATCAAATTCCTGTTAGCCAACACTTGGTAATTAATCTGATGCTCACTGGCGACTGGTTTAACACAAGAAGTTACCTAAAGTCCTAGTGAAAAGTCGTAACCAATTAGGTCCACTAAATCAGATAAGAGAACAGTTAGTGGTTGCGCTATATATCACAAATTGTCAGAGGTTGGAATTCATTGGCTATTGGCTTGGGCTGAATAGTCTAAGAGCTTGTCTTGTGGCTGGAAAGTCCTGGGTTCTCACCCTGGTTGGTGTGTTCTACTGGAGAGTCCCAAGGAAGAGGGAGCGGAACAGCTGGCCAGTACTCCCTGTCTGTTTCTAGTGGTTCTCTAACTGATGTCACTTCTTAATCGAACCTGTAGCTTTTTAACTAGTCTAGTTGCTCATTCAGTAATAATTATGCAATATTTAAAGTCAATCTTACTTGATTTCTACACCATTTACAGAATACGCATCCGGAAAAGTAAAAATATTTCATTTAATTTATCATATTTTGCTTTTAAAATGAAATTTGTACATAATAATTAAAATAATTTTCTTTTATTTAAAAAAACATAATAAATTCAGGAATCGTTAAATCGTATTGAAATGCTTGCATCAGAATTAGAAGAGTCAACAAAACAGACTAGCCTTAAATATCGTTATATGTCAAGGACAAATAAATCCAACCCTTCATCTGAACAATCTCCCAGCAGTAATACACAGATTATTGACAAGGAAAATAATTTAAACATACCTCCATGTCCTGCTACTGTTGTAGCCTCTGGAATAGTTGAAAATAAGATTAAAAGATGCAAAAATTCAAAATCTGTCTGCAAGAATCAATTATCCAATAGTCAAAAATCTCCTAGACAGTCATCTTCAAAAGAAAATTTAATTCATGATTCAGCGAAAGAGAAAGAAGTAGAAAAAGACGAAGAAGAACCTCTTGATTGGGGTGAAAGAATTCGATTGCTTAAAAGAGCGTCAACATGGGCTGAAGAATTAGCTGAACAGGCTAAAGGGGTACACAAAGATGGCTGCCATCGAAATAGACGACGTCCAACAAAACCTAAAGTAATTACTTCATCTATACGTAGAAATCTAAGGCAAAAATCATTAAACTGAATAAAAAATGTATCTTGTTCTATTTGCATATGTACATTCTATTGTATTTCACTTCAAAGTATTTTATTTTTAAATAGAAGAAACAATATTTTATATTCAGTTTCTTAAATTTCTGATTTTTGAATGTTTGTTTATGATTTTTACTGCTGACGTTTTGATAATCTATCTGGGTAATTAATTCATTTAGAAGGTAAAGGTACCCGTTTATTAATCATAAAGATTGAGTAAACCCTGTGATAAATAAGTAATTTGTTAAACGTATATCAAACATGAAACTGTAGGGTATCCATTCAAGTTAGAATAGAACAAAACAAGAAGGAACCTATAAAAACAAAGTACTATCTTGGTGGTTTAATTGTAGCAATGCTTCCCAGCTGCCACATGGTCTGGATTCGATTCCTCCGCGGACGTACTCCTAAACGTCTCCTAGTTGGGAGGGAGGATTAGAATTATACTAGCAACCCCACCCCATGGAAAACAACCTTATCATTAATAAAACTTTGGAAAGCTTGAATCCATACGTTCCACTCCAGGACTTAATTAGTGGAAAAGAAAGATTAACGAAGTATTTGAGTAGTAGGCACTGTTGCATATGTACTTTAGTTAAAATTCCTGCAATTCCTCTTACATCCAAATGAAAATATCTTCATTTCTGTAAATTTTCTTCAATTCCCGCGTTTCTTTCGGAGCCAGTTACATTGGGTGTACAATTAGACAGGTTCATCATCGTATTTCTGAACATCATCCTGCATGGTTAAGCATGGGGACAAACAACATCCATTCGCAGCTCTGTTTTAACACACTTTGTAGATAGTGGGCATAAAGTAGATGTTAATACAACATTTAAAGTTATTGATCGCATTCCTACTAGTCTTAATTTTGCTTTACTGAAGCCATAGGAATCCATTTGAAGAAGCCAAACCTGTGTGTTCAGTATAAAAATCTCTGAATCTTGATAAAGTGATTATATAAAGCCGTAGATATTATGCTATTATTCAACCAAAGACCCGTGTAAAATATCTTGCTATCAGTGTCTAGTTTTATATAAGTCTACTATACATATTCTACAATCAAACTTAGTTTAATTTTTCTAGTGTGAAAAATGAACACCATTCTTTTCCTCAAGAAAACTACTGCTTCAACACTAATTATATTTATGGTCTGTTGAAACACTGGACACTGATTATTACATTATTATGCAGAATATCTTTTAAGCATGTTTACGACACTTTAACGTTTAGTACAAGACTACATGTTTAACTGTCTAACAATCATTTAATTCAATTTTAGATTTTTCCGTCGATTGATTGGACCGAATTGCTCGGTCTCAGGTTGACATTATCGGCTTCTTGTGCAGATGCTTCGACGATGTCTGGGCATGTAATTAGAAGTTAATTGGTGGATGGTGACTAGCAGTGGAATCCAGGATGCGCATTTCGTCCTATTTGGGAATCGTCAACCGGATGTACCTGAGACCGGATACTTCGGTCTAATCAATCGACGGGAAAACCTAAAATTGAATTAAATAATTATTATGACCCGTTGCACAAGAGGTGGCTCTCGTGGCCCAAGTGGTCTAGTGGATAACGCTTTGGCGTTTGAAACTATGGGCACTGGGTTCGAGCCTCGGTGGGAACATCATCACTCAGTAAGTGGGGAATGCAGGTACATCCAGATTACGAGTCCCAAATAGGACGAAATGCGCGTTATCCTGGATTCCACTGCTAGTCACCATCCACCAATTAATGTCTAACAGTCAGTTTGCACACGAAATTCAGTTTTTTTAAGGTAATCAGAGTGTTTTAGTCGTAAAGTCTTTGACTTAGGAGCTGAGAGTGGCTAACGTTCGAATAAAATCACTTTTCCTAGTATCATATATGTGTGTTTCTGATAAATGCCAAAAAAGGAACGGAGTTTATTTCACGTAAGTCATCATGTACATTGATTCCTGGCACACATTCTACTTCTAATCATTATCAAATATAGGGGAATTCAGAAATTCATTCGAGACTTAAACATTGACTTGAAAGTCTAGGCTGTTTAAACGGCAGCCAAAAACTAGAGTACCGAAATGGTTTCTCATACTGGTGCTTCCTTACGGACTGGAATTCCTGAATCTTGTATTAATCATGTTGTTATTGAACCAGTAGACTGGAATACAACAGCCAATTTTTGAGATATGGCTTGAATGTTGATTAGTAATTAAAGCTTCTTTCATTGCTTAGCGTTTCGAGTGGAATATAGGGCTTCAAGCCTTATAATTTTCGGAATTGGTGATAGTGTCGTTCTTTACGAGGTGGAGTTACTAGCCTCACGCTCAGACTTCCCTCTTTCCTGGGCTTATTGTCATCTAGTAAGCTAGGTGAGTTATTAAGAGTACATCAGGATATCGGAGTAGAATCCGCCTCATTTGTTTAGTTGGCGAGCATTCTACTATTGAGTCACCGACAGTTTCTAAAATTAAACACCTAAAATTATTATTTTTTAAATAAAATTCATAATTAACCATAACTCATTTTTATGTCATGAATTTGAACTAATGGTGAGAAAAAAAACAAACAAACAGACTAACAGTGGTTTGTTTTTAATAATTTCTTTTTCAAGCATGTAGTAAGTACTCTTTCGTTCTGAATGCTTGTTTCCGAATAATGCCTCCAATAGCTGGTAGAAGTGATAACAAGACACAATCAGCCAGTAATTCAAGGTGAGTATTTCCCTTAAAACATTCATAATTAAAACAATGTCCATTAGATTTATTTCAAATTTTCACTGTTGTGCCTTTTGGTTTATTTTTTCTCCCATTGTTTACTTTTTGAGATCCTATTCATTGTCATTTGAGGAATAATGTTCTTTACCTGTATGAAGTTGTTTTGAGGCTTGTAGTTGTACGTGTTTCTCCAAGTGGCGTGGCTTTAGGATACTATCGATGGTGGCTTTTTGGCTTCCATCGTTATCAGTGCACACAGAGTGAAGAGGAAGTGAAGAGCCATCAAGTAGAGGAGTTGCATTGGTAGAAGGAAGGCAAGATAATAGAGATGAAGATGGATACAAAGATGAGTGAGGGTTAGAGAGGTTTCGCGTGCACTTCGGATTGTGAGGGTGATTGTTACTTCCCGGCTGCCCACACCGTGGAAGTTGGTTGCGTGACCGCAGAGCCCAGGGGACAACTGCTTGAGGCCGGTCACACACGGCCTGTATTTGTTTGTTCTTTTTTTATTTGGTGTGTCTCAGTAGCATATTTATCACTTCTGCCCTGTGACACGGCAGCAGAAAGTGCGGTCGTTGTTAATCTGGGCCCCGACCGATCCGGCATGATATTTTGTGATTTTGTTTGAGTCATGGCATTGGATTGGGTAACTGCTTTTTGTCTAAGCGCTATCCAAACAACCTTTCTGGCATGGTACGACCTACAGGAACTTAAGTTCCAGCCAGTGTAGCTCGTTGGGTCATTGCGATATGCAAGCCCCACCACCACGTCAAGGTAGCAGCTTTCTCCAAGTAGAATGTAGTTACATGAATTAGCAGTGGTGAAGAATATTTGTAGTTCAGGTGGGTTGTGATTTTGGTGTAGTTGTGTTCTTTGAGCTGGTTTATTTAATGGCGAAGCGTTCATTGTCTTTCTAGACAGCCTCTGCAGTACTGACTTCGAGACTGATTGGCGACGAAATCTCAGCACGGATCCAAAAAGCTCGAGCTGCTTTCGCTAACTTACACCATCTCTAACATAGGCGTGACATCCGGCTATCAACCAAAGGACGTGTGTACTGCTCAGCAGTTCGCTCCGTCCTTCTCTATGGCTCTGAAACATGGCCAATACGAGTTGAAGACATGAAAAGGTTGTCTGTTTTTGATCGTAGATGTTTACGATCTCTTTCTCACGTTAGGTGGCATAATAAGATAAGTAATATTGACGTTAGGTGTAGAGTGTTGGGCAAAGAGGGAAAATCAATCGAAGAGGCTATAAAGTTACATAGATTGAGATGGCTAGGTCACGTGCTGCGCATGCCTAACCATCGCCTCCTCCACCCCGACGGGCATTACTAGCTGATATAGGTGCAGGTTGGAAAAGAGTAAGTGGTGGCCAAACAAAAACATGGCCTCATCAATCCATGAAATCCTTGACAGTTAAACTGAGTCAGGTAGGGAGATGCAGACTTCCGGGTTGGGGCCCGCCTTCGGGACTCTAAGAATCAATGGCTGGAGACAATGGGTGACATGGCTCAAAATCGTTGTCAGTGGCTAGCGCAGATGTATTCAGTCTCTGTAATCTTTCATATTCCTTTCTACCATTACTCATTCTGTTTCACTCTTATACTTGTCAAAACTCTACTGATTCTCTTCACTCATTTTCTTGTCTACCTTTGTGTGCTATTTGGAACGTGGCAACTCGAACTGCTGCACTTCGGTGCCAAGTTCTATGTTGAATCCAGACAGACAGACTTCGACTAATAACTGTGCTTTCGGGGTACTCGATGAATTTAATAGCCGTTTCTGTTGATAATCCCAAATGTGATTGGTTGTTTCCGAATAAACAGAATCACAGCTTACTCCACAACTTCTTATAACTAATACCAAGACTAATACATTGCTTGAAGTGGGGGGATTTTATTATTATCATTATTCTCTTGGGTTCCAAGCGGAACATAGAACTTCAGCAACACATCTTCATATCATTCGTGTTCTCTGCAGTCGTTTTTAGGTGGCTCCATAATTGCTCATATTCTTTCATTTCCTCCTGATACGATCTCTTCCATGACCCCCGGGGACGTATAGCCTGTTGCTCACCATTCGGGTTGTACTCGAGGGTCTGTGCTGCGATGTAGCACAACTTCGTGTTAACCCTCAAACATTGTCGAAGCATCCGTACTAGGAACGTACTTGCCAAATGAGGCCGAAAATCTCTGTCCAATCAGTCGACAGGGGAATCAAAATTGAGTTAAAAACAAATCATAATTTGGTCATTTTTATCTTGTGGTAAATGTCCTATGTATTTGCCTCTTCGTTTTTTCATTCCCTTGCGTTCCGAGTGGTGAAACATAAGGCTTCAAGCTTGAGTTTAGAAGTTTCAGTAGGAGGGAGGGGGTGTTTTTTCACAGGGTGGCTTTGCTAGCCTTACGCTGAACCTTCTTTCTGTGCCGAGCCAGACAAAGTTTAGGAGTGATTCGTTCGTGAATCGAACCCAGACCTTCCGCGCAGTTGGTGAATATTCAGCCATTGAACCACTGGCTCAGTGCCTTATACAAACCAAGCAATAATTCAATAGAGTAAAGCTGTGATTTTCCATAGAAGAAAGTATTTAACCCATTTTAAAGGGAGCTATGATTTCGAATTCGCAAATTTCACCACAGTTACCTCTAGAAACCGAAATCATTCAGATCGCGACATGTGATTTGCTTGATATCATAAGTGGTAAGCATAACTGTATGATGGCACTTACCACTGATTGATTGATTGTATGTGTAGTTTGGATATCAGTGACATCAATCAGTAGTGCTTGCTATAGTCAGATCTAAGTAATCTAAACACCGGAAAGCCGTTTCGCTTGTTTCCGGCTGAGCTCACTAGCGGTTTACTCAGTTTTGACTCAGCTCAAAGGCAAGAATCAGTTCAAACTACCCATATTCTGGTTAGCTCTTTGAGCGTGCTGGTAATACATGGTGTGGTATAATATGGTACGGTTTCCAATGGAAACTATGGTGAAATTTCATTGCAAACTGTGTAGTTTTCAAATTGAGAATTTGATTCCATGTATTACCAGTTCACCTGAGTACGTAGCCGGAATCTGGATGTCCAAAATTGATAAGGCTATCTAGGATGAGTCAGAACCGGGTAAACCTCTGATGAGCTCAGCTCCGAACGAGCGAAACAGCTGTTCGGTGTTCAGATTACTTCTATCTAACTGACAAGCACTAATGGTTGACGTGAGTGGGATTCAACTACTCGTTCCAATCAATCAATAGTGTATACCACCATGCACTCGTAGAACTACGGTTTGTCCTGTACAACTAACTACAAGTTACACTGAATAGTCACTTAGTGTTAAATATTTTAGCTGAATAACTTAGGTAATATTTTTATTACACTGATATCTAAAATGATTTGTCAAATAAGGAGATTATTCTTTTATAGTTAGAACTTTAGCTACTGGAAAAATAATAAGTAGTACAGTTAGTTTTCTTTTCGATTTAAAAAGGTCTAATCAAATTTTAATCAACTTTGATAATTGTTTCATTTGAAACATCTGTCAGTAACAGACTGAACTTCATACGTAGAGATAATGATTGGAATGAGTAGCAAAATTGAGTTAGGATTTGAACCAGGGGCTACTAAAATCTTACTGGGTAACTAGGAATTTGAAACGTTGAACTAGCGAATCCAAAGATAGGTACGAGTATTTGTATTCGAAATTCAGTATAATTGGAAACTTAACTTTCAGTATTTGTTGAAATTATTATTTTGAATTTGCCATTGATTGATTTCGTTGGGATGACATGTTCAGTCTCTTGTTACGTACCGGCTCTTATTAAGGACGCTCCGACGATACCTTTACCTTGACATTGCTGTTTGGTTGATGGTTGTTAGCAGTGGAATGCAGGATGCATGTTTCGTGCTGTAGGACTCTTCCCACTAGAGCCTCAGTGGAAATACTATCACCCCCTGGGGATGCAGGTACATTCAGATGACGAGTGCCAAGTAAGTGGGAGCTCGTGCCCTAGATTACACTGCTAACTGCTATCCACCAAACGACATCATGTTGGTTTGCAGTAATTTCAGTTTTTTGGAGTGCCTAATCACTTGTCTCAATGTGTCCACTTATGGCTTTTGACGTTAAAATATTTTGTATAGAGTGATTCAATGTTTGGATATGTGAAGGCACTTTTCGAATCTATTCTCTTTTTGAATTCTTCTCTTCCTTTCAATGTCTATTCTTCAGTATGTATTTGTAGTTGAAGTAGTTTGTCTTCGAAAACACTATGGGATTGTTAGTCTGTGATCAGTTTGAATTTAATCCTGATTGGATTTCGTTTTGCTTACCACATTCAAATAGCTTCATTACGGCGTAACACTGTGCAGTTCTCCTCTTTTTAAAGTGAACATTCATCTGTAGCACATAGAATGATATTTATATTGATCGGTTACTAGGGTGTGACCGATGTCATGCTTTTAGTCCCTGCCGTTGGTACAAACCGAATTTCACCAGTCAAGTCTGCAATATGGTCTTCCCAGGTGGTCTATTATGAGTCTACATTAGATGGTTGCAGTTAGTCGTCTGGGAGCTCTGGACCCTGATTTCGTGTTTATCGGGAGTTATCAACAAGGTGTATCTGCAGTCTTGAAGGAACTGATGTCCCCTCTGTGATTCGATCCCGTATTACCCAATGTCTCATTCAGAGAGCTTACCACTGATTTTATTTTGATAAATCACACAGTGTTCTACAGTAACATTAACTGATGATGTTTCGAGCATAAACTATTGCTCATAATCATATCAAGGTACTCACACAACTTTTTTCCTTCATTTATATACAACATGTGTGGAATCAATTAGATATTGGAATAAAATTCAATATGAGATAATGTACATTCAGAAATAATTAAATGAGTGTTATTGATCAATTAAAATCAGATGGGAGATAAGACGAGTGTTTCTATAGTCATAATAAACTACTTGTGAAACTGTTGTGATGTGCTTGAATTGAAATATAATTTTGAGATTATTTATTATCCTCCTACGATTTGACTGACTGGCGGAAATAATATCTTCCATATTTCTGGTATTTGCATTGAGTCATTTCTGTTGCATGTGCTGGGTGTAGATTCGATGAACAAGGATTCAGCAATCAACCTCTCTCTCCACCTACCTATGTTACTCTTTAGAATTTTAATCCTCTCCCACCCTATTGTGTGGTTGTTTGTTAATGCGTGAAGGGCAATTGCTGAGCTTTTTTCTAAATTACTTATCTTCGTGGGATCAATCATTCTAACCGTAGCTAAATTCTTATGTTCTGATAATCTGATAATCCGACCTACTAGTTTGACCTATGTAATTGACTTCACAGTCATTGCAGGGTATTTTGTAAATTATATTATTTTGTTTAATTGGGTCCACTGGGTCTTTTAGCCTAGAGAGCTTGTCCTATCTGAGTGAGTTAGTAGGTTTGAATGCCACCCTAATTCCTGCTTTATTAAGAATTCGGGCACTGTGGTAGAGTATACTCCATTATGGATAAGCTTTTATTTTGATAAATCACACAGTTTTGTACAGTAATATTAACTGGTGATGTTTCCAACATAAACTGTTGCTCATAATCATATCATATCAACTTGATATGATTATGACCAATAGTTTATGCTCGAAACATCATCAGTTAATATTACTGTACAAAACTGTGTGATTTATCAAAATAAAAGCTTATCCATAATGGAGTATACTCTACCACAGTGCCCAAGTTTTATACTTATAGCTTACCACTGAGCTATTCGGACGATAATGGACCAGTTTTCATTTGAGTTGGGAAATAAATAGCAGAATTAACTATTTTACATTGTAAAGTAAAACGAACAGGCGAAGGTAAATTGTGCAGTAGTGTTTATGGAAAGCCAATTCACTCTTATAGATACTTAGACCTTGGGTTATCTTATCCGTTATCTGTAAAGACCGGCTTACTTAATTGTCTAATCAACCGGATGAAAACTCTAAGTAGTACATCATGTAGGCCAAATAATGAAATGAAACGCATAGAAGAAGCATTGGTGTTTGAATAACTATCCCGTAAAATTCATCAGTATGTTAAAAATACTCAGAACGAAAAGAATAATAGTAGTGAAAATACTAACCATAACATAATGAGGAGGAATCGAAGGTGTCTATAGTTTTACCATATAAAGCAGGGACATCTGAAGTCCTACGTATGATTCTTAATAAGGAGAGAATTAGGGTGGCATTTAAGCTTACAAACTCACTCGGGGACATGCTCCGGAGGTCATAGGATGCTATCGATGTGATCAGACAAAGTAACATCGATTCACAGTGTGCCGCGATGGTGAGTCATCTAGTTTGGGGACCCCATTGATGCCTAACTGATAGAATTCAGTCTGCAATAACACCAAGGACGCATGACATTGGCCAATCCCTAGTGACCAATCAATTTATCCATTATAGTCCTACAGGAAGTCAATAATGAGACCTATTGCCTCAGCGGTAGCCTCTCTGACTATGGCACTGGATGACACGGGTTCAAATCTCAGAGGGGACATCAGTTCTTTCAAGACTGCAGATACACCTTGCTGATGAGTCCCAACAAGCACGACGTCTGGGGTCAAGGCTTCCTGTCGATTATCTCCGACGGTGTAACATCAGAATGATATGTAGTGTGAGGTATTATTACTTATAGATATATAAATCCTCGTCGAGAATTGTTATCCAGAAAGATTTATTGCAAAATCTATGAATCCTAGACCACAAAAGCCGCCCATGCTTAGCGTCCCGAAAAAACTACTCTACATGAACCTTCAATTCAATGGAGATATATCTGCGGAAACACTGAAAAATCGACTGTCGCGCTCACTTAAGAAGACCTTCTTCGCAGCTGAACTACGACTAACCTTCTCCACAAAACCTATGATTCATGTGAACGTGAAGGATAAGCTACCACTGCTGGCCTCATCAATGTGTATTTATCAATTCACCTGCTCGTGTGGAGCCAGGTATGTCGGCCGTACCCAGCGCTCGTTTTCTAAACGTATCACCGAACACTTACCAACATGGTTTTACAAAGGAGAAAATCGATGCCCCCGCAGCTCCATCTTAGAACATCTGATAGAATCCGGACACCAAGCTACACCCCGAACAAACTTCAAAGTCGTCTACAGAGTAAGAAGTAGTCTTCCTAAAGGTGTACGAATCAGACTTCTTCAAACTGCAGAAGCAATGGCAATTCACTCGCTAAGTCCTGAACTCTGCATACAGAAGAAGTTCGTTCAATCACTACACTTGCAATGGACGTAATCTATCTTATTACCCGATAAGTAAATTCTACCTAATCTTTTTTTCTGTCTCTTCATTAGTATTATTTTGTCTTCTCAATTGTAATATTTTACATTTTCAACCTTCTTGTTCTCTACCCCCACCCGATTTAATTTCTACACCTCACTACCACTGTTACTGACTTGAACAACGCTCAATTTCTAGTCATTTATGTTACGTCATCCAACTTATTTGCTCAATTTCAGTTCTAATTTAAATGGCATTATTCTCTACCCCACTTCTACTTAGTCTCTACCTGTAATTACCTCTGTTGCTACCCTGACCTAAGTTGAAACATTTTAGTCAATTATATTACGTCATCTAACTTACTAACTCAATCTTACTTTAGTTGCTGTCTGATTAACCTTGTTTCTATATTAGATCATTCTTGTATTACCTGATCAATTATCTAAACTTGACAAACCTCGTGTACACACACACACACAAATAATCATATATAAATGCGATTGTACAGCTATGTGAATGAATTCGCCGTCGAAAAGAGTCTCTTCGCTGAACGTCTTCTCTTTTTCTATATGACTCAATGGGGATTTTCAAGCTAATATATTTTTTGTATAAACATACTGAATTTATGTCATATTGTTATTTCTCTATTTTCTTTTTAATACCACCAGTAAATCTAAAGTACAAAAGCCACCGGCACACGGCCTAAAAGTCAATCGAATGTTACTTCTAATACTATTCGTTCATCTTATCCATCAAAAGGTAATGAAACAGTATTAACATCGAAATCCAATGATATACTTGATAATAACAAAAACAATAATCGTCTTGCTCAGTTAAATGATTCTACAAAAGAATTACTCTCATATTATCGGCATAAAGTTGAAATGTTAACTGAGGATCATGAAACATTTCAACGACGGTTAGATAAAATTCATGATGCTATTGGTAATCAAGAAACGCTTAGCTTAGAATTAAATCAACGTGATGCAGAAATTGCAGAACTTCAAAGAGCTTTATCTGATATGCAGGTAAGCATTAGTAAAGTGTTTAATACTTCTCAAATACTGTAGAACAACATAAATTTTGAATAACTCATTTGAGCGCTTTAAAGTAACCTGTATAACAATACTGTCAACATTGCAATAGTTATATACACGTGTTGTATACGTTATACAATAGCACACTAACCATTTGAGTGTGTGTATTACAATGTGTCATTATTATTATTAAAACAAACTTGGTACGTTATGTGTACCAATAGATGCACCACATAAAATCTCATAGTTTGAGCGAGGGTTAGGATACTGCCTTGACGCCCAGACTGAAGGAGGTGGTTGTCTTTAGGGGCCACTCCTCCGAACCTTTTAATTGAAGAAAAACCCGAAAACCAGCGGTGTAGCGTCAGGAACTGCGTTCCCATGGTTTCCGCTAATCAAAACAGGTTCATACGCTGTTCAATCCTTTTGGATTCTGGAGCCCGTATACATCATAGGTTTGAAATCAGGGTTTTTCAGATCCCTTAGGTAGACCTGAATTGTTCATCAGTCCAGTTGTAAGCGCCAGATGTTCGCATTTACTCTTTCACTTTTGTGAAAAACACCCCCGCTTCGTGGAGGCAATGAATAGGATTTATTTTTACGAGTTGATCACGGATTGATATCAGCTAGAGAACCATTGAAAACCAGGGAGTACTGGACAGCTGTTTCATCCTAGTTTGGGAATCATCGGCAGTACGCACCCACCGCCAGGGTTCGAACCCAGGACCTTCCGATTACAAGGCAAGCTCGTATACCATTCAGCCACTGGGACCCACCCGATTCAATGGCCAGCCCATGAATTCTAACTTCTACCAATTCGTGATTTAGTGCGACCCCAACCATTGTCATAGGTGGGACATCCATCCTCACACCTGACATCTGGATGGACCTCACTGGTCATGAGTTCTCACTAGAACTCCAGGAAACTCCATCCTGTAGCAAGTCACTGGTGAGCATCATGAGCCATTGAATCGGGTCCCAGTGGCTGAATGGTATACGAGCTTGCCTTGTAACCGGAAGGTCCTGGGTTCGAACTCCCGAAGGTGGGTGCGTACTGCCGATGATTCCCAAAACTAGGATGAAACAGCTGTCCAGTACTCCCTGGTTTTCAATGGTTCTCTAACTGATATCAATCCGTGATCAACTCGTAAAAATAAAACTAACCCTTACAAACCAAACTATAGAAAATATCAATATTCTGTTCTATTCGAATATACCATCAAGCTCGTTGATTTGTTTCCAAGTGTTTCGAAAGTATATGATATCAAAAAATAACCTGTAAATGGACAAACAAATTGTATCAGTATGTTTTACTACATACCATATGACTATAAAGAAGACAAGCATCACTAGACAAGCCTTCGAGTGGAACCCGAAAGGGAAGCGGCGAGTTGGTCGTCAGTGCAAGGGTGACTTGGAGGAGGTCATGTGAAGAGGAGATGAAAGCATGTGGGCAGACTTGGACCCAGGTGAAAACTTTAGCAGAGAACCGAACGCAATGAACACGACTGAAGCCCTATGTTCTTTTAGGAATTAAAGGATACAATAATATATAATGATATAACCATTGACATTTTTAAGATATTACTAGTACGTTATGATGTGCGTTGGTGGTTCAATAGTCGAACGTTCGCTAGTCACACAGGACCCCTAGATTCGATTCCCTAAAGACGCATTCCTGAACTTCGCCTAGCTTTATTAGCTGACAGTAAGTGAGCTCGGCAAAGAGAGTCTGTTTGGCCTCAGGCTAGTAACCCTAACCCGTGATAACGACACCTTCTGCTACTGAAACTTCAAGCTTAAAGCCCTATTCACCATTCAGAACGCAAAAGAATGAAAAGAACTAGTATGCGTTATAATATGGTTGTATAATATTAAGGGTACGTAGTGTTAAATCAAGTGGATGAGACATATATCGTTAGTCAGCATTATATTTCTTGTAAGATTAAAACAGGAGACACCTTAGACTCTGGTCAAACCTAGACATAACACCAATTTATGGAGCCTGTGACTGATTTCCTGGTCGATGTAACAGAGTTATGAGCTTTACGATTATATAATCCACAAGGTAGTAGGATTTGATAATAAATAAAACAAGGGATCGTAGCAACGTGGACATAATTCAGAATCACTATTTTCTCTCTCTTAAAATATGACAGTTGTGTAAACTACTCAAATACCTTTTTTTGTTACTTGTGTCCATGCACTATAGGTTTATCTCTTTCAAGAACGTGAACATGTTCTACGTTTATATGCAGAAAATGATCGTTTGAAAATTCGTGAACTTGACGATCGAAAGAAAATCCAACATTTACTACAGTTGTCTAATTTAGGACCAAGTGAAGTAACTTACTTTTTAAAACAACCAATTACAAAATCACAAGATGAACAACAGAATACATGTAATAATGTAGGCGATGAAAATACTATCGACGGTGAAGATAATCATCAGCATAACAAAAAGTCATCATGGATTTCAGCTGTTGCTGTTAAACCAATCATTCCAACAGCTCCATCTCATGGTGTTATGGAGTTTACTGCATCAGGAAAAACAGTTTTAAAACCAAGTACAAGTAATTATTTGTTTTTTTTAAAAGTGAATTTTGATTTCCCCATTGATTGATTGAATGAACTGAAGTGTTCTGGCTTTGTTGACATGTCGGTGGCTCCTAGTACGGACGACTGAACAATGTCTGAGGAATTAACATAAAGTAATTTGGTGGTCTGTTGCACAAGAGGTGACTCTTGTGATTCAAGTAGTTCAGTGGAAACGATGGGTACTAGCTTCGGGTCTCAGTGAGAACATTATCATTCACTGGAGAATGTAGGTACGTCCAGTTGACGAGTTCCAAATAGAACGAAATGGACACCCTTGATTCCACTGCTAGTCACCATCCATCAAATTACTTCATGTACAAGTAAGTTGTATTTACATAAATGGAAACAACCTCTTGCAGTTCCATGGAGGTGGCAATAAGCCCCACACCCTTTATGTGGTATTTGGTGATACTACTACCTAACTGCTCAAATCTCGGCAGGTGGTAGAGCAGACTTGGAACTTGCGACCCACCGCTAAAAACTCCAATTTAAATGGACACTACCAGGACACAAGTAAAAAAGAATCATTTCTGATGCTCGATAAGTCACATATACTAGCATAAAATCATGAAAGTGAAATTTTTATATGTTAAACTTTTGAAGTCCAAAGTTTAAATATGACTAAGGAGTAACATTTACTGTCACAGACTAGCAAGAACTCTGAAGCCGTCAAGTTCAATACCTTATAAAAATTTTCAGGTCAATATTATTATATTATTATTGTTCCCTTGGGTTCCTAGTGGAACATAGGGCTTCAACTGCACGTCTCCACTTGCTTCTGTCTTCTGCTGTACTTTTCACCTGCATCCATGTTAGTCCATACTGTTTCAACTCTTCTTCACACGATCTCCTCCATGTCACCCTTGGACATACCACTCGCGGCTCCCTTTCGGGTGCCACTCGAGGGCCTGACGCATGATGTCACCCAGTGACCTCCTCAGCCAGTGAGTGTCCAATCCATCTCCACTTTCTCCTGCATATTTGTTGAGCGATTGGTTCTTGTTTTATTTGTTCCCATAGTTTCTTGTTAGTGATTCTTTCCGGCCATCTGATCTTGAGAATACTACGAAGACAGCTGTTGATAAAAGTCTGCAACAGGCTGTTGGAAATACTCATTCTTTGTGACCCGCCAAGTTTCTGATCCGTATAGAAGAACTGACTGACTTGACGTTTGTATTGAAAATCCGAATTTTGTTGTTGATGCTGAGTTGAGTGACGAAGATTTCCAGATTGGTTTCGGGTTGATGAATGTGTTTCTCGCCTTTCCGATTCTCGATTTGACATCCTCGTCCGTTCCTCCTGTAGTTGAGACAATGCTCCCTAGATAAGTGAATGAGGTAACCTCTTTCAAATCACTCCCGTTGATGGTGATTGGCACTGGATGTTGCTGCTGCTGTTGTTGTTGGTTGGTTATTTTCATAACCTCCGTCTTGTCAATGTTCACCTGGAGTCCTGTCTTCAGCTGCTTCTTCGACCAGTTTGTCGGTTTTTGCTTGTAAGTCTTCGATTTTGTGTGACATCAAACATAAATCATCCACGCGCGAAATCCAGGTCTTCTAGGTTCTTCACGTCGGTGAGGATAGGATATCCCTGTCTTCTCGTTTCCCACTGTCTGACGCATGATCCAGTCCACCACAATTAGGAATATCATTGGTGATAATAAGCACCCTTGTCTGACTCCTGTGTTTACTCCAAACGCCTCGCTGAGTTTTCCGTTGTGGATCACTTGACATGTGCCGTTGTCGTACAGTTGTTGAATAAGGTTGATGAATATTTGGGGTACGCCGTAGTACTTGAGTAGTTTCCAAATTACTTCGCGGTCAACGCTGTCGAAGGCCTTCTCAAAGTCGATAAAGGAAGTTGAGGTAGAGATTTGATTGCCATTCCATGCTTTGTTCGATGATAATGCGTAGAGTTGCAATTTGGTCAGAACAAGATTTGCCTTTCCTGAATCCAGCTTGTTCTGGTCGGAGTTCTGTATCCAGTGCATCCTTTATTCTCTCCAGGATGATGCAACTCAGATCAATAACTTAATGTTAAATATCTGAAGAAATAAATTACTTGTATCATCAAGTAAATATAGCGACTAATTATGTTACTACAATTTGCATCTTTGTTGGGGTATGCTATATCATCGTTCGGTATTTGTATTGCTTTGTAATTGAATTGAGAAATAATTTCCGTACTAAGTACTAATTACAACTTCTGTACGCAGGATCAGGCCAGGGCAAGAAGGATTGTAGAAGTAATATTATAATATCACTGAAATTCGGACAGAATTGTAGTAGTGTGATGAGAGCTGTCAGCAAGACAAAGTTGTAGACAACAATTTACGTCAATGTTCACGTCCTGAATCATGGTCAGGAGAAAAACAAAGCTTAACCTTGAGGAACTCACCAACCAATCACAGCAGACTTAACGCGTGCAAATATGATTCGGAGATATATGGCTTAACTTTCTGAGAAACTGCCACAAAGAGATGACAGAATAACCCTCAGCAATGAAACAACCAATCAGAAGACTTCGATTCTCTGCTAACAATAACGCTAACAATAGTGTACATAAAAATCTATATCTGGGGGATTTTCTCAATAAACTATCTGTTGCCTGGCCCTTGTCTTCTGTTGTTACACTAGTTGTAGTATTGGTGACATTACGACAACTATACTTTATCCTACAGCGTTAGAACAGAAAGTGTTTAGGAGCGTTCAGAGCGTTAAGTACACAAATTTAATATTTTATTGATATTATTCTGTGGTGAGAGCTGGTTGCAAGCCAAAATCGTAGACAACAATTTACGTCAATGTTCACGTCCCGAATCATGATCAGGAGAAAAACAATAACAAAGCTTAACCTTGAGAAAATCACCAGCCAATCACAGCGGAGTTGACGTGTGGAAATATGATTCGCAGATATATGGCTTAACTTTCTGAGAAACGGCCACAAAGAGATAACGGAATAACCTTCAGCAAAAAACCAACCAATCAGAAGAGGTTGCTTCTCCGCTGACAATAATGTACATAAAAATCTATAAATACCTCTTGATTTTCTCAATAAACGATCTGTTGTCTGGCCCTTGTTTTCTGTCGTTACACTTCTAGTTATTTAGTCTCCCTAGTGTACCAATTAACTGGATTTCATGATAACATACTGTGGATACAATAGTTTATTTTTTTTAAATAGTTACTTTTATTCGTTTTGATAATACCTTGATTTTTGACAAGTCACTCATTAATTTTGTTTCTTGATTTATTAATTATATGATAATCAGATCAAACAAAATCGAATCATGCAACTAGTACTGAACCAGCCCCAATATCTTCCAAGTCTGATTCAGTATCTCGTACAGAACATGAAGCTGTATTAAGAGAACTTGAAATGTCAAAATCTTCGCTAAGAGCATTACAAACACAATTGGAAGAACAAACACGCAATGCACGTGAACAAATTGATTCACTCATGGAAGATCGTAAAGCTATGCAAGAGGAAGCTGACAGTTTACGTAAACGTAATGAAGAGAAGGCACGTGTATCATCAGAACAGTATGTTCTAGTTTATAATAATTTATTTTATATTTCTTTGATTAGGCTTAAACGTTGTCAAGAATTATTATATGATAGTACTAAAGAATTCTTAGCACAAAGGAATCAATTTCGTCAAGCTGAAAAGGTGTGGATTGCAGAGAAAGACAAATTACTAAGTCAAATAGGCACGAAAAAATTTAATTCTACCGGTGTTAGTGCATCAACTCTCTGTAAGTCTTGCAATATTGAGTTTCTTTTTTTTGTTGTTGTTGTTTTGCTTCATGAATTCATATAAGCTTTAGTTTTTAATAGGTAATCACTCGTTTTCAAGATTGGTCACTAACTGACTTCAGTCAGAGTAAGTACTGAACAATTGTTTCGTCCTTGTCTGAGACTCTTCATCAGTACTCTGTGCAGTACTCTCTCGTGTTCGATGGTTCTCTATCTGTGAAATCAGTTCGTAACCGGTCTTGTAACCAATCAAATCTCTACAAACAGAACTAGTCTAGTACTCACCAGTGAATCACCCACCACAAGATGAAGTTACCTGAAGTTCTAGTGGGAAGTCGTGACCAGCGGGGTCCACCAATATGGGTGTGAGAGGAACAAAGACTCACTGGTGACATTGACTGGGGTTCGTGCTGTATCGTGAATTGGCAGAAGTTGGAGTTCTTGGGCCACATTGTATGACGTACCATTGGCTGAATGATCAATGACCTCTCATTGTAACCTAAGGGTCCTGGGCTGGATCCCTGTGGTGTAGTGTTGGGTGCGTACTGCTGAACAGTCGTTCCAAACAAGGACGAAAAGCTGTTCAGTACTCCCTACTTTCCAATCGTTCTTTAACCGAAGTCAATTCGTGATCTGGCTTGAAATCAATCAAATCCCTACAGTTCAACACTTGAAGGTCACTTGTTTGTTGTTTAAACTCAAATCCCGAGGCAGGTTTATTATATATCAGGCTATGAGCCGCACTGATTACTTAAGGGCTGTTGATACTACCTAGTTTCCCAGACTGGGGCGTGATCCGAACTTGAGATCTACTGGTTAAAAGTTCAGTGCTTAATCTAATGAGCCACGTCTCCACATTCTTTCTTTTGTGTTTTGAGTGGAACATAGGCCTTTGAGGTAGAGCTTTGAAGTTTTAGTAGCGGTTTATTTTTTTTTACTGGATGTAGTTGCTATCCTCATCCCTAACCTTTCCTCATTGCCAGGCGTACTACCGTATAAGCAAGGTTTAGCCTACATGTGGCTGGCAAGCATTCTATCACTGAACTACCAATGCATGTCTCCACACAGGGGTAATCACTATCTGATTAACAAAACAAAACACTAAACTGAACGAAAAATGCATATTCCTTTTCATCAATGACTCTACGCTAATATGTATAAGGCTAAGTGAAAATTATGCCAATCCGTCAACAGGAATTATCATTATTATTATGGTTTGAGAGGGGTGAAGATAACTAGCGATTAAATGTTTTTTATTCCCTTACGTTCCCAGTGGAACGTAGGGCTTCAAGCTGGGAGCTTTGAAGTTTCGGTAGCAGTGGTGTTTATTTTTACCGGATGGGGTTGCTAGCCTCATTCCCAACCAAATTTCCCTCTTTACCAGTCTTATTGCTGGCTTAGCGGGGTAAAGGAGTGCGTCCAGTGACCGGGAATCGAACCGGAAACCATATGCATGGTTGGCGAGTATCCTACCTCTGTACCACCGACGCACCAAGTAGCAAATGGTTCACAGTAATAGAATAGATTGTTTAACAATTGCTCAGTTACATAAAATAAAAGTATATACTAATAAGTGATCATATTTTAGTAGGTCAAGTCAATAAGAAATATAAATTTTCAGGTATAGGAGGGGTGAAAATCATTACTAGTTAATTTACGAGGGTTAACAAGAGGATGATGTTGTTGCATAATCAATAATTTGTAAACTAATTATGTTGGATTTTCGTCACGAACCAACATCAGTTAGAGAGATCATTGAAAAAAAAGTTAGAATTCAGCTGGTCATTGAATTCCAGTCCAAGTAGCTGAATGAATGGTCAACCAGCTTGGTCTCATAACCTAAAAGTCCCGGATTCGATTGTATTCGAGGTTGTGGGGTGTGCACTACTGAAGAACCACAAAATGGCACGAAACAACCGTCCAGTTCTCATATGTTCCCAACAATCTCCAACAGATGTTGCTTCACCGATGAAAATCGGATTGGGTCCCAGTGGCACAATGGTCTACGAGCTCGCCTTGTAACCAGAAGGTCCTGGGTTCTAACCCCGGTGGGTGCGTACTGATGAAGAGTCCCAAACTAGGCTGACGAAACAGCTGTCTAGTACTCCCAGCTTGTTTTCCAATGGTCCTCTAACTGATGTTAGTTCATGATGAAATCCTGAAACAAGTGGTTTAAATTGAATTATCTATAGTGGTGATCATAACAAAACAACAAAATAATGAAGTTAAAGGATGAAGAAATTACCATTCAACACAGTGCACCATATTTTCCCTAATATTTCATTGTTTTAACCATTCAGTTATGGTTTTGTGTCGCAAAATGTACTCACGCACATTTTCTATAATTACCTTTCAAACTACTCGTGCGCATTTCTCGAAGATGATGGATAGATGTCATGGAGGGAGATTAGTCTTTGCTTCACTTTGAACGGTACTGTGTCACATGATATTTTACTTGAGGATCCTGGATAAAGAGGAAATAATAATTTGCAGAAAATTACGCTGAGAATTCAGTACATTGCTTAGACATTCTGTCCAGAATAAAGCTATTATTATTATTATTACTATTAAAATCTATTAGTAAGACTTTATACATCTAATGTGTAGACAGATATGACAAAGAAAGGGGGCTGCACAAGTTTCTTTTTATTACACGGATTCAATGATGAATTCCAATTACCTCTTCTGTATTTAAAAGTCGGTCTCATAGAGTATATGAAGTTGGTGAAATTCGATGGATAACTTTAAGAGCTGTGCTAGTGTTGACTTGATATTCTGTATCGATGAGGTGGGCTAGTATTGGGCTGCGTATGGCTTTATTTTTCGTCTTTTGCCTAATCAAGATGGATAGGTGTTCAGAAATTCGACGATATACTCGCCGAATCGCTGATGCATACACTTGGGAGAGGTGAAATTAGTCAGTTTGTCTTTATTTCGTGATTTGTCGGCTGATGAATAAACAGTATAACTTAACTGAGTGATTGACAAGTACTCAGGTTAATAATCTTGTCACTGAGTAACTACCACATGATTATTATTATTGTTCCCTTGGGTTCCTAGTGGAACATAGGGCTTCAACTGCACGCCTCCACTTGCTTCTTTCTTCTCCTGTACTTTTCACCTGCATCCATGTTAGTCCATTCTGTTTCAACTACTCTTCACACGATCTCCTCCATGTCACCTTTGGATGTCCCACTCACCGCTTCCCTTTCGGGTTCCACTCGAGCTAAGGCCTGACGCGTGATGTCACGCAGCGGCCTCCTCAGCCAGTGAGTGTCCAATCCATCTCCACTTTCTCCTGCATATTTGTTGGACGATTGGTTCTTGGTTTGTTTGTTCCCATAGTTTCTTGTTGGTGATTCTTTCCGGCCATCTGATCTTCAGTATAGAGCGAAGACAGTTAGTTGTTGATAAAGGTGTGCAACAGGCTGTTGGAAATATTCTTTGTGACTCGCCAAGTTTCTGATCCGTATAACAAAACTGACTTGACGTTTGTATTGAAAATCCCAATCACTTTGTTGTTGAAGTGGAGTGACGAAGATTTCCAGATTGGTTTCAGGTTGATGAATGTGTTTCTCGCCTTCCCGATTCTCGATTTGGCATCCTCGTCCGTTCCTCCTGTAGTTGAGACAATGCTCCCTAAATAAGTGAAAGAAGTAACCACATGCTGATTAGTAAATACATTGAATGACTTACACTCATTATATAAGGCTAGATGATGATACTACTTGTCTGTGTACACACTGGTGTCTAAAGGAGATGGACTTGTTGAAAGCAGAGTACTGAGACTGTGATGCTTCACAGCTCAAGTAAATTAATGTCTTATTCAACTTTTTTGTTAAAAATATGTATGTTCTAAGATCAATTGTTCATATGCTTCTATTGTCTTGCTTTGTATTCACAATGCCTTTGATCAGCTGTTATGAAAACTGATGGACGTAATCTCACTGATCCACTGGCTGATAGGATAAATCATAATCATAATAATTATACTAATCCTATGGATTTATTAAATAACACCAATATACAAAGTTTAGAATCTCGTGCATGGGCTGAAGTGAATCAACAAAAACAGATACAATTAGAGAAAACAATTCAAAATTTAGAAAATCAATTAGATCAACAACAAAAACTGTCTGATATGTATAGAGATCAAGTAAGTTCATAGTTTAGTTTAAAATATATGTAAATTGAATAAATTGAATCGTTTATTTTGGTTGTTAGTGAACAATTACAAGAGAGACTTCCATATTAGTTTGTTTATTAGATATATCACTCAGTGAAACAGTATTATTTACTGGATGACACAGTTTTGAACACAGTTTGTTGTTCATAATCACACAACTTTGAAACTTGAGTTTTGTAGTTTTCTTTGTTGTCTCCTATTTGTCGTGGGGACAGGTGTTGAATCATTCCTACTCCATGTGTTTGCAGTCGATTCGATAAATAAAGCTTCCGTTGTCATCAATCTCTCCCTCCACTCTGCTGTTACATTAGATTTTAAAACTGTCATCTTATCCCATCCATCCTATTGTATGGTTGTGTGTGATTGCATGTAGTGTGTGCTATAGCTGAACTATTCTCTAAATTTCTTATCTTATTCGGTTCAACCCCGCCAACCAACAGAAAAGAATGAAGAGAACTATAAAACGAAAGTTTCGAAGTCGTGTGATTATAATTCATATGACTATGAAGAATAAGTTGTATTCGAAGCGTCATGCAGTAAATAATACTGTTTCACTGTGTGATATGTCTAATAAACAAACTAATATGGAATTACTTACTACCACAGTGCTCAAGTTTTACGCATATATTAATACAAGAGAGACTTTCAGGCGTTCTAATGAGAAGTCATGACAGGTGGGATCTGCCAACGCATACGTGTGTGGACAAGGTAGGACATTAGTTGGTGATAGTCAGTGTTATCGTGGATTGACGGAAGCTTGAATTGATGAGTCACTGAAATCCGGTCCATTGCTTACTCGCCTTGTAACATAAAGTTCCTGGTGTCAAATTTTGTTAAGGTTATGGGTGTGTCTGTCTGTCCGTTATCGACCTAGAACTTTGCAATTGAAGTCGCCACACTCCATGTAGCACACAAAGCAAGAGAAGAAAGTACGAGAAATGCATATTAGAGACAGTAAACAGAGGTGTGAGACAAAGGAATAGTAATAACGAAGAACAAAACAGTTTCATTGGAAATCATAAGTCACAAGGGGTGGATGCATCTGCGCCATTAAGAACGATTTTGAGCCATATCACCAGTTGTTTCCAACCATTGGTTTTTACCGTCCCGAGGACCCCAACCGGGAAGTCTACACCTTCCTACGTGGCCTAGACTAACTGTTGTGGATTTCATTGCCTGGTGCCATGTTTTGGTCTGACCGCCGCTAGCTCTTTTCCAGCCTGACCCTATATCAGCTAACATTGCCCATCGAGGAAGGCGATGACTAGGCATACGTAACACATGTCCTAACCATCTCAGTCGATGTAACTTCACAGCCTCGTCTATTGATTTCCCCTCCTTACCTAGCATTCGACTGATGCCTAACCTCAATATTGCTCACCTTATTATACCACTTCACACGGGAGATAGAACACAGGCACCTATGATCAAAGACAGCTAATCTTTTCATGTCTTCCGCTTTCAATGACCAAGTCTCACAGCCATAAAGGAGGACGGAGCCGACTGATGAGCAGTACATATGCCCTTTGGTCGATAGTCGGATATCACATCTACGCCGGAGACGGCGTAAACTGGTATATGCGAAACTAGCCCTCTGTATTCGTACTGAGATTTCGTCGGAGGTCAACCCGTTGGCACTGGCTGATGGTACTTCCCAAGTAAGTGAAGCGGTCAACGGGTGTGTGCTGCTGAAGAGTGCCGAACTAGGACTCGATCGCCTTCTAGTACCTCCTGCTTCTGAAACCTTCTGTAACTAATGTCGGTTTGTGTGCATAAATTTCAGTATTACGGACTGATATTGGCGTAATGATTATTAAGTTGTTTTTGTATTTTTCATGAATACTTTCGCTGTAGATAATGCAATTTTGTATATTTTGTATAATTTTAGTTAACAAAAGACAGGAATAATTCAATACAATTTAATGGTTTTAAGTTATATTTTTAATAAATCAATTATATATAAGTAATTTTCACTGTCCATTATATTGTACATCATTAATGAAAGCTTTTTGTTGTTGTCATCTATTTTATTTGCTTTTAATATCTATTTCTTAAAAAAAAGATTTAACTGAAGTGAAATTTATTTATTTTTAATTTCATAATTTTTTCTCTCTTAATGTTATACGACTTTAAGCAGAGTTTCTCTTCAAACAGACATTTCAGTGTATGCTCGCTAAATGTGTTTAGGTGGAGCTGTGAGGTTGGATAGTTGGCTTATGCAGCTGACTGTTTTTTTCTTCAAGTATTGGCTTTTGTAGGGATTTTGTTTGATTGGTTGAAGGATTTCATCATGAGCTGACATCAGTTAGAGAACGTGGGAGTACTGGACAGCAGAACACCCTGTGGTTGCGTACTGCTGAATAGTCCCAAACTGCACTAACGAAACAGCTGTCCAGTACTCCCAGGTTTTCCAATGGTTCTCTAACTGGTGTCAGCTCATGATGAAATCCCCCAACTTACGATAGGCGTTGCTTGTTTATGAGTGTTTTTAAACCAAGCTGATTGGGATTGGGTTGTGTTCTCTGAGCTTGTTGATTGAATTGTTAAGCTTTCATTGTCCGTCTGGACAATATCTTTAGCGCAAGCTTTAATATGCAGTGAACTTGTTTCAGTTCTCCATGAAAGATGTAGTTGCAGAGCAAAGGGTGCAACAGCAAAAGAAGATAAAATCAGTATATGGGCGTCCACTTTGATTCAGAATTCAAGAACATAAATTAGCAGTGAAAAGATACAACACATATTCTTCCGTATCGATGCATGTAGACAATTACGGACATTTATTTGATTGGTAGATAGTAGAAATTCCAGACGGAGGAAACGCGAGAAATGCCAGGGAATTTCTAGAAGCCTGATACTCAGACGAATCAACGATTAACAAACACATTACTATGGATCAAATTTACCAAGTATTAAAAAATAAATCACATAACAAGAAAGCTCCAATTCTAAGTCCATAAAAATGATCAATAAAGATGCAAATTAACAACCAATCACGACAAAGGAGGTTGTCAAGAGATACAATTATATCATTCATGGAGAATTCAAACAAGTTCATTTTATATTAAAGTTTGCTCTGAAGAAGTTGTCTAGAATGGGGTTAATGAGAGCTTCGCAATTAAATCAACCAGCTCATAGAACAAAATCATATCAAAGTCATTCACCTGAGCTACAAATCTTCTCTGTTATTACAGAAGCTAGTTGTAGAGTAATCCTTCATTTCTTTAGAGTTTTCCCCCGAGGCTGATATAGGCGGTTATTACCTGAAGTACTGTTGTAAGACAGTCAACCCCTACATCACAGTGAATCATTCTATCTGTACGTTATGCGTAAGTACTAGCAATTATTTTCACTAGACAAAATTGGAATGACTTCAAATGAAATATATAAAATGTGTTTTGTTTAAGTGTTAATATGACTTAGCTTTTCTTTTCTCCTAATCGGTTATTTTCCTGCCTACTTCAGGTTATTCAATTAGAAGAAGAGTTAGTTCGTGTACGTGAAGAAGGTGTTCTTTCAAAAGATCTATTCAAAGATCAAGCTCATAAACTTCATGAACGTGTACAAGTTATGTCACAACGTTATCAAAATTTAGAACGTAGACGTCAATTAGAAATGGAAGGTTATCGTACTGATATTAGTACATTACGTAAAAAATTAAAAGAAGTTGAAAGACAATTGTTAAAGGTAGAATATGTATTTTTTTTTCTGTTGGTTGAATGTCTTTTTTGTGTAGTATTATAAAGTGTGAAGTTGTTACAGTTATCAACCGCTGATTCATCGTTACATTGGAGATTTGGCTTACTGCCTTCATCTTCAAGTGTTGATCTGCAAGGGTTGGGGGGGGCGTTGATTGGTTGCAGGTTCTGATCACTAGTTGACATCAGCTAGACAACCATGGGAAAACCAGAGAGTACTGGACATCGGTTTCGTTCTAGTTTGGGGCTCTTCTGTAGTACACACCCACCCGAGTTTGAACCCAGGAACTGTTTATGAATTCATACCACTCAAGGGTCCCTAACAAACAATTGTCCAGTACTCTATGATTTTCCAATGGTTCTCTAACTGATTTCAGCTCGTAATCGAAACATATTGGCTTTATCACTTAGCCTTCAATCATTGGGTCTTTGATTGCAATCCCGCTCCGTCTATTTCAACCTGGCGATTAGATATTGTCATTAATCCTTACACATTAAGTGTAACATGTGACCTGATACGTAAGAAACTTGTTGCAGTTAATTGAATCCTGACTAACTAACCAACTGCAGGCGTGATTCTTGGTTATCTTTCAGAGGATATGCGTACTGTATAACCATTCGTTCAATTACTACCTTTTTACTGCTGTGAAACTTGGCAGTTCAAGGTGGAAAGTGCAAAGATCTACATTGAAAATTCATTCAACTAACCAACTCGTTGATTTCTATTTAAGTAGTCATATAAGTTGTATGGGCGTTGAAAATCCTAACAGTGTACATTGTGAACAAGTGTATTTGTCATTCGAATTATTGAATCATGAAGAGAATTATGAATAGTTAATACTGATTGAATCATCATGTTTTTCGTCATTTATTTATTTATTTATTTTATTCCTTCACGTTCCCAGTGGAACATAGGGCTTCAAGCTACAGGCTTGAAGTTTCTGTAGCAGTGTTTAATTTTTACAGGATGTGGTTGCTAGCCTCATGCCCAACCTTTCCTCTTCACCAGCATTATTTCTAGTTTAGCGAGGTAAAGGGGTGCGCCGGCCGGGGATCGAACCGCGGACCATGTGCATGGTCAACTAGCGTCCTAACCGCCGTGCCACCGACGCGATGGTTGGAGGCAATCGGCAGGAAGCTTTGGACCTAGGTTTCGAGCTAGTCTGCACTCGTCAGCAAGGCATATCTGCTACCTTGAAGGAACTCATGTCCCTTCTGAGATTCGAACCCGCGTCACCCAGTGCTGCAGTCAGAGACGTTACCACTGAGCTATTCAGGCTCGTCATTTGCCTGCATATTTCCTCCGCCCGTGTTAAGTAGTATAATATGTTGAGTAATATTGCAAAGTGTTAAGTGAAGAGGGCAACTCTATGGATGAGGTTGTGAAGCTACTTCGGTTGACATAGCTAGAGCAAGTGGTACGCATTCCGAGTCACCGCATACATCCGTTAAGCAATGGCGGCCTAATCTAAACCTCACATCCATTGATGATGTCTATGACTTTTGGTTTGAACCACATCGGGAGGTGTAGGTAGATTGCCCTCCTGGGGTCCTCCTGATGCTAAGAAGTCCATATTACTATTCTTTCACCTACACTTTTCCGTTCATTATACTTCCTTGGGATCTTTTCTCTACCTCTATGTGTTATATAAAGTGTGGCAACTTGAAGTACTACAGTTTTGAGTTAATTTCTATGTTGAAAACTCTGTTAGTAGTCATTTATTTCCTCAAAGAATTATTTATCTAATTACTCGCTTATGAATAATAAAGATAGACTTGAACAATAATTCGAAATACAAAACCAGATAGGGATGTTTCTCGTTTACAATTTAAACATAATTTTCAAATTATCTATCTTAATGGGTAGTACACGTTTATGAATGTTGAATTTGATAGTAGAACAAAAAAAAATTTAGAGTACTTTTCAATGTTTTTGATTTTTCTTAAAATCAGTTAAAATTTATGCTTTGCTTTACACAACCAACTATCGAATGAAATTTATTCAGAAAATGCTTTATAATTGTACTGATATTTTGTTGTATTGCAAATAATTGTAAATAATCCGTTTATGTACGATGGTTCAGGCGTAGGATGCTTGGCAGCTACACGTACAAGTGGTCAGGGATTCGATTCCAACCGACGCACTGCTAAAACTCTCATAGCCGATAGTTAGCCCGGTAAAGTGGGAAGGTTAAGGACGTCATTCCGTAAAAACACCACAAGTGAAGCTGGAAATTTAAAGCTTAAAGCTTGATGCCCTATGTTTCACTTGGAACGTAATGGAATAAAAGAAAAGTACGTTTATGTACAAGGCTGCTAGAATGCGTAGAGAAATAAGATGGAACAGCTGTTGTTGTTGTTGTTGTGGGAATTCGCTTACTCAAAATAGACTTTGCATGTAGCACACTATAAGCCACACTTATTTTGTGTGTGTGTATGGACTGATGATAATACACAGTCATCCAGGCTGAATTAGGTGGAAGGGGATTCGAACACTGAAACAATCGGCTGAAAGTTAAGTCAATAATCCACAACTTCACAGAAGGAACAGTTGCATTTCTCCCTATACAATAAACTTTTGGATAATCGAATGTTATCGAGAACTTTAAATAATCAATGCAAAGTCAAATTTTCTACATTGAATTTGAAGCTTGTGTTTTAGGAGTTTGTCCACTTTGATCATTAGTTAAGATTTTACAAGCGGTAATCGAAATGACAGCAGATATCTTCACTCAATACTTGAAGATCAAATGACCGGATGAAAGGATAAGCAACAAGAAACTCTAGCAACGAAACAGCTAAGAACCTATTACGCAACAAATATATAGAGAGAAATGCAAAATAATTAAACATACACTGAGGAGACTGTTGAATGACACGTCGTACGCCAGGCCTTTAGATATAACATCTGAGGGTGACATGGAAGAGATCTATTGGAGGAAGAAGTGAAAGCCCGTGTGTGTTTGCAGTTGTGGAGCCAGTAACAAAAGACACTAAAGAACATAATTAAAATGTAAATGTGCTCCTGAAGCTCTACGTTCCGCTAGGGATGCAAGAAACGAATAGTAATGTATATTTGAATTGATACCTATAGAAATACAAAACAAAGAATGAATATCTGACAAAAGATTTTTTCTTTTTGAAGACCCAACGTCGATCTATAATTCCATATTATAGACATTGGCTTTCTGTCCACTACCTCCAACCGTCTGATAATTATTCAGAGAGTTGTTAACGATGAAATTCAAATCAAACGGGGGGGGGGTATGATGACACTTTCAAAGTGTCCTAGTGGTTCAGTACCAAATTGAACTGTAGTGTATATTCAAGTTTCACAGGGAACACTGTCACTGCTGCTAGTTGTTACAGGGTAGTATTGCTTTCGGTCGGTTTTCGACATAGAACTTTGCACAGATGCGCGGCGGTTCAAGTCGCCACACTCCATGTAGCACACAAAGCAAGAGAAGAAAGTACGAGAAATGCATATAAGAGACAGTAAACAGAGGTGTGAGACAAAGGAATAGTAATAACGAAGAACAAAACAGTTTCATAGGAAATCATAAGTCACAAGGAGTGGATGCATCTGCACCACTGAGAACTATTTTGAGCCATGTCACCAATTGTTTCCAACTATTGGTTTTCACCGTCCCGAGGACCCCAACCAGCAAGCCAGTCTACACCTTCCTACGTGGCTTAGACTAACTGTTGTAGATTTCATTGACTGGTGCCATGTTTTCGTTTGACCACAACGTGCTAGCTCTTTTCCAGCCTGACCCTATATCAGCTAACATTGTCCATTGTCGAGGAAGGCGATGACTAGGTAGGTATACGTAACACATGTCCTAACTATCTCAGTCGATGCAATTTCACAGTCTCGTCGATTGATTTCCCCGCCTTACCTAGCACTCGATGCCTAACCTCAATATTGCTCACCTTATTATACCACCTCACGCGGGAGATGGAACGCAGACACCTATGATCGAAGACAGCTAATCTTTTCATGTCTTCTGCTCTCAATGGCCAGGTCTCACAGCCATAAAGGAGGACGGAGCGTACTGTTGAGCAGTACACACGCCCTTTGGTCGATAGTCGGATATCACATCTACGCCAGAGACGGCGTAAACTGGCATATGTGAACCTAGCCCTCTGTATTCGTGCTGAGATTTCGTCAGAGATCAACCCGTTGGGGCTGAAGGTAAGTATTGCTATCCTCACATCCAAGCTTCTCTTTTCACGGTTTATTACCAGCTAGTAAACTTGATGGGGTATAGGAGTGCGTCGGTTAGGAATCGAGCCTTTACCTCCAGTATAGCTGGCGAGCATTCTACCATTGAGCCGTCGGCATATTACTACTCATTACCAAATAAGTAATAACGATTTGTCACTTTAAATATACCAGTGATTAATGATAATGATAGTTATTTCTTTTTAAAATCTTTTTTTATTTTTATTATTCATTATTTTAGTTAACTCTTGGTTTTACTGATGGAATCGATCTACCAGAATCAATCAATGGGAATAACAACAAAGACATTGATATAGCATTGCTGAAACAAGTTAAAGCATCTACAACTCGATCTAATCAAATAATGAATGAATTGAAAAATCTTAAATTGAAAATGTATTCACTTGAAGATGAGCTACGTAAAATTTAATATTTCTTTTCCCGGTTTTTTCCTATTCTCCCTTCTTTTTCCTCTTGCTTCTTTGGATTTCTAATCTTGTATAAGTTCCCTTTCATTTGATCTATGCTGTGATTTACTTTTGGCAAGTGTTGTTTTTCTCCTTACCCAGTGAACTTATATGATTACTCTATATTTCCCTTCCATTGTTGCTGTCAGTGAAAGCGTATCATCTATCCTATTGCTGTGATTCTTCTTCTCGTTTTTGTTGTTGTTGTTGTTGTCAATTTTTGTACATTTTTTGATTTGCTTTTCTATTAATCATTGGATACTTTAAAAAAATATAGGTTTTATTCTATTCCCTTATGAGAAATTGTTTTTTCTTAGAAAGGATGTGAAGTCTGTTTTGCTCGAAACATTCGTGAAAAATGCTTCGATTGGACACTGGGTAGTAATTAATGTCATACGTGTTGTCCTGCGTTTGGTGTAAAGTGAATTCTGTGTCAGTCAAGTTTGCAATGTGACCACCATACTAGTGATAACGTTTTTGACTTCTTCAGAGCTGAGCCGGTTTCGAATCTCAAGATCGAGATGAGTTTCTTCAAGATTTAGGATACGCCTAGCTAACGAGTGTCAACGAGCGTGAAACCTAGGTGCAGCCTAGGCTTTCTGCGTTGGTGGCACAGCAGTTAGGACGCTCTCAGACCATGCACATAATCCGGAATTCGATCCCCGGCCGACGCACTCCTTTACCTCGCTAAACCAAAAATAATGCTGGTGAAGAGGAAAGGTTGGGCGTGAGGCTAGCAACTCCATCCTGTAAAATAAACACTGCTACAGAAGCTTCAAGCCACCAGCTTGAAGCCCTATGTTCCACTGGGGAACGTGAAGGAAAAAAAAGCTGTACAATCGTATTTATATACATATTTCACACGAAAGGGAACAGTAACAAAAGTTGTTGATAGTTAGTATTAATCAGTGCATAAGAGAAGTAGAATAAAAGAAATATAGTTACGTAATGAGACAAGTAATATAATGAATGAGCTGTTATCACAGTGCACATAGTAAGGAATGAAAAATGTGATGTTGCGTAAGAGTTCGGATGGAATACAAGTAATAATGAGTTAAAAACAAACAAAGATCAAGTTGTTAGGAAACAGTGAGGTGTGCTTGCCTCGATTGTAGAGGTGGCTCAAACTTTTCCTCTTTTGTGCACAGCTCCGGTTTCTCTATCTGAAAGGTAGAGCTTCAACAATGCAGAGAAGATGACGTGTTGTCTTAGCAGGTTGTTTTTCTCTTCTAAAGATTACTTTGAAGGGGGTGGGTGGGATAGAATGACGACTGTTGACGAGGTATTTACTGATTTCATTCCTTATAGAACCGCTATCATCTTTCTACAGGCATGCGTGATAGTGTTCTTGAACCCTTTTGGACAAGATACACATCGAAAGACCAATATATCTGGCTCGACAAGATCATGTGAACTGATATATGCACACACAAATGGTCAAATGTGAGGTCTTCTCTTCCAGGTTTCTGCAGAACAGTAGACGTCTGGTTAATACTCTTAGCGTTTTCGTGAAGAATGTTCTTTTCAAAGATATTGAAAATTTTTATTCTCAACATATCCCAGGTTACTTCTCCCCTGAAATCATAGTTCATGTAAAATTTCTTTTTTCATACAAATAATGCTTTGTGTCTCTGATCTTTTGGTTTTATTTTCTTGTCAGTAAATTACATATTGCAATTTGGATGAAGACAGAAGTAATCGATGGAGAGGGTCGGAGGAAGATTACAACCTCTTCTAAAATACATGAGTGAATGAGTATTAGAAGTTCTTTATTAAAATATTTAAATTTCGCACATTTTGTTCATATTTCCCTGTATACCAGCTTCTATTACGGATGCTTGGTTGATGCCTTTAATTCGAACTTCATGTTACTTGACTCCACTGCTAAATACCATCTATCCCGTTAGATTTCCTGAGGATCAACTTGAACATCATAGTATACAACGAAATCTTAGGATCCATAGTTCTACGAAGACTTCTTTGCATCTGGATAAAATAAGCAAGAGGAAACTAGGCAGGTTTCATCGTTACAAAACGCTGAACCGATTAAATCCTTACTCCTTGGTGGATTGTGAAGCAAGTACATACTTACTGGTGTTCAACACTTTTCATACTTCTTATCCTGAAGGAAGAAAAGTTCCAAAACGGGAATTAGTGGTTATTGATTGACTATTTTCAAAGTAACCAATGACTTCTCAATCAACAGTATGTGTGATTAGTTTGCTTCAATATATAAAACACTGTCCTCATATAGTGAGTTTTATATACTGAAAGCTTAAAAGAATGTCCATCTTTAGCTGTTTACTAAGAATATCTGAGCTGTGCATTGGAAACAATACCGTACTTTGATTGAACACTAGGTGGTAAGTAACTAGTGTTCAATCAAACTATCCAACAGAGTCCTACAGGAGGTCAATCGCGAGCCCGAATATCTCCTCAGTGGTAGCATCTCTCACTGTAGAACTGGGTGACACGGGTTCGAATCTCAGAGGTGACGTGACTTCCTTGAAGACTGCTGATGATTGCCCCCAACCATCGAATAACAATGATATATAGTGTTTGATTAAGTAATGCCTATCATAATGAAAATTTAGATAAAGCAATAAGAGGGAAGACGTAATTTGTCTGAAACGTGTAATGTGTATTTGCGCAACACATTTCGAACAATCTGATCACACACGGACTTGTCATAGGAATATATATGAAATTAATAAAGAGGTAAGAGGTGAGAAAATAGACCACTTAGGTCAAGTTGAAAGGACATATTGAAGGTCGAAATAACAATGAAGATCACTAAACCAAATAGCAGAGGTAATAGTACATCTGCTATGGTATCAAAACAAAATTTAACAAGGAAGGGCTTCAGAGCAGATTCCTAAATGGCTTCAGAAACAAATGGAATCTTTACAACCCATTAATGATGAGAACATGAGACCTAGCTCCTCTATTACGAAACATATTATAGAGACAGGACATAAAATTGACGTTAACACATCTTTTAAACCTAACTGTAAAACGTGTTTGGGGCGTATCCTAAAGTTTGTGGAAGCCCTACCTGGCAATTAGAAAGTTTAAGCCACCTCTATGCGTTCAAAAACAATTCGTCATCACTCTAAACCTTCCTTGGTAAACGTTTTTTTGATACCAGCCATGGTAGATGTGCTATTACCTCTGTTATTTGGTTTTGTGATCTTCATTGTTATTTTGACCTTCAATATGTCCTTTTAACTTGACCTAAGTATTCTATTTTCTCCCCTCTTAACTCTATTAATTTCACATATTTTCAATCCTATGACGAGTCTGTGTGATCAGATCGTTCGAAATGTGTTGCGCAAACACAGCACTACACGATTCAGACAAATTACGTCTTCCTTCTTATTCCTTTATCTAGATTCATAAAGGGAACTAATTGTTTTAAATAATGAAAATTGAAACAAAACTGAAAACATTTTGTCTTTGAAAATGTATCACAAAAGTGTTGAAAAAAAAAATTAATATTCATATTTTCTTAGAATGTTAGCACATTTCTGAAATGCTCAAAAAATAATCTTTCCTGTCAGTGTTTTTGTGTAATTTTGTTTTTGGTAGAAACCATTTGTCTGAAACTCGTCACTTCCACGCTTATCTTGTCTTCAACATATAGACAAATTTTGTCATTAGCACAGAGGACAGACAGAAAGAGTGACAGCCAAAATGAAGTTGAAGGTACTTGCGTTTTTTTATCTTGGAGTTTGATGGAAGAATAGCAGACCAACAACACTAGAGGAATCATTTGGTCTTAGCTTTGAAGTCTGAAATAATGTCTGGATGTCTGGATAGACACCTAGATGGGGGGGGGGGAATCTATCAAAAAAACTGAAGCAGATAATATAATGAATGACTGATACCATATTGTGTCTGTAGGTGACATAATGAAATCTGTCAAAAGTGTATTCATAAATTTTCACGTGTATTTATTTTCTCATGACGTAATAAGAGAGACAAAAATGTCCAGATTTCAGTTTTATTTTCTCTCAGCGATTTTAATTAAGTTCAGTGTTGATATCAGTTTACAATTTATTTAGGATAGTAGGCTATATGCTTGTGTTAATCCTTTCGATTTGTTACACACAGGAGGTCCAATCTCGCCTTGAATGAATCAACGGATGGCGCTGATACGACGTGTTCCGGTAGGGAGTTCCAATGGTTCACAATTCGATGCGAAAAACGGATCTCCAGACGCAGACGATTCGACCGTGGTTTTTGAACCTTGAGGTGATGTCCTCGCAATTGGTTGGTTCTAGAAGGAAGAAATAAATTAGATAAATTAGCTCCAAAATCATTTCTTAGGATACGGTATGCTAGTATTAGGTCACTCCTAAGTCTTCTGTATGACAGTGGAAATAAACCCAGTCGACTTAACCTCTCCTCATATGAGAGGGTTGAGAAACCCTTTATTAGCTTAGTTCCTACTCTTTGCACCCTTTCTAATAAGTCTATTTCGTATTTGAAACACGGGCTCGCTGCCTGGATCCCATATTCCAAATGAGGTCTGATATAAGTTGGATATAATATACGAAATATATCAGCGTCAAAGTTTGCAAAAGCCTTGCGTATTGTCCATAATATTGGAAAACTCCAAGTGGCTGCAGCTCTACAGTTTGTTGCTGTTTCCAAGTCATGCTGCACAACCACTCCCAAGTCCTTGTACTCAGTGACCAATGGGAGAGTTATGACGTTCATTGAGTAATTGTGCACGTGACTATGAGATACATGCATAACTACACTCTTGCTTAAGTTAATCTCCAAGGCCCAGTGCTTACACCAATCACTTAACAAGTTTAAATCTTCCTGCAAAGCAAGTTGATCACTGTCATCGTGTAAAGCCCTCCATATCTTGATGTCATCAGCAAACAGTAAGCAGGATGACTTAATTACCGATGGAATCTCATTAACATAAATCAGGAAAAGAAGTGAGCCTAGAATTGTACCCTGAGGAACGCCACTCTTAACCGATTCCCATCTTGATAAAACCCCACTAACTCGTACTCCTTGTCTTCTGTCCTTTAGAAAGTCTTGAATCCAGTCGGCAACCACTTTATTGATTCCCAGACTACCTAACTTTACTAGAAGACCTGAATGAGAAACCCTGTCAAACGCCTTGCTAAGGTCGATGAATATGGCACCCACCGGTATATCAGCATCAGCTGAGCTTGCCCAACTTTCTCTGGCCAAAAGAAGGTTGGTCAAGCAAGAATGACCTGCTCTAGAACCATGCTGTTCC